ACCAGTTCACGTTATCAGGATTCTAAATGGAAAATGATAACAACAAAATACATTAGTATGAGTACATTGTTGCTCAGCATCTCATAACCTTCTACAACAGGGATGACAATCTCAGCTCCCGGTGGGCCGTGACTCTCAACAAAGTATTTCCCTCTTCTAATGCTGACATCCACTCACAAATGTCTTGCTAATTCACTGATGTGTTAAACCAGGTATTTAATGAGGTAAAGTTAAACTCTGCAGTGCTGCGGCCCACCTGGACCAGAGTGCATCACACAATGTCTCAGGAACCTTCATTCAGTATTTACAACAGTCTATGTTTGGTGTCACACCATAATGATCCACAAGAGGGCACCAATGGATTCAAGACAATTATGAATTCAACACAAATCAGTTATACACACAGCGCTGCTTAATTTACCAGACAAAGGGTAAAGTTTGTCCCTGAACTGAATCCAGTATGAACAGTTCTCCAAACCCAAATCTAAAAATCTGAATATCCTGATAAGAGGATCAAGAGACTTTTGTAAATGTAGGCAGCTCAACAACCACACTGAACCATCTACTCCCAAACCATCTTAGCCACAGTGGAGTAGAACCCCATAATGACTCTGTGAGGACATTAACAAAAGGGTTAATTAAGGTTAACACACTAAAGGAAAACCCGCTGTTGCACACAAACCACGTGATTCACACATCTTAAAGGACGTCGCAGTCTCACGTCAGTGACTGGCATCGCTATCTACCACAATCTACTTAATGTAGACCAGGACACTCTTATCGCAGGTCACCACAGGCACTCTGCAGTGACTTCCTGCCAGCAGTTGCATTAAGCTGACATGCATTGCATACAAGGCCACTTTTGAAGTTATAGTCAGAGCAGAATGGATGTGAGGGATGATATATATGCAAATTCAGAAATTACTGCAGACAAAAAGAGAAATTCGGACAGCAGTGGACATTCATATGAAGACATTTATGCCAATAGACAACATAGAAACGCATAAGACCAGGAGGAACTAAAGGAGCTCCATAGAGTACAGTAACTGCAGCAAATATACACATAAAAATGCTGAGAAAGTGAATAAAAGCTCTCACTCACATACAGCAGATCCTCAGTACAGAGGTAAGTTTAAGTCTTTACTGGGTTTTTTCACTTACTCATATTGTGCTATGCTAAATATGCTATACGCCCACACTGAAATATATTGTTAACCAGCTTTAATCAGTAACTAAAAAAGAATAATTTTATCAAGGTTTCTTGTATCATAAGTCAGTCTGATGAACATACAAGATATGACAGTAACTATAACTAGTTTCGTAACTAAGTTTATCTTGCATTGTACTGTGCACACCTAAAAATGAAGGTTATTCAAGGGTGTTTTACTAAGGACAATGCGCCTATATAGAACCATGAACACTCAAAGATCCCTTTGCATGATTAAAGGGTTCTGTAATGGTTACTTCAGTGGTCAGGCCCATGGATCAGACACAGCAGATCACTGAAGTAATGGGTAAAAAAGAACTAACAAAGTATGCAGAGAAACAGATGTACAACAATCTGTAATTATAGAACTATGAAAAATGCACCTATATGGTAAGAAGCTGATAAAATGGATGTAGTGTGGACAAGGGAGTGTACTTAATGAAGTGGCCAGGTGGTGTGTGTGTGGGTGTGTGTGTGTGTGTGTGTGTGTGTGTGTGTGTGTGTGTGTAACGTATATAAGCAGCCCCTCTGTCACACTTCCTGGTTCTCAATTGGGCGCTCATACCATCTAGGACTCCATTTCCCAGAATCCCTTTGTCAGTCATGGGACTTCTTCAACCAATCACAAACCACCCAGCAGATCACAGTCCCCTGAAATCTAATCACCACCACCTG